AATAAAAGTTAAAAAAAAAAACAGAAAGAAGAAAACTGCCTTTTCTCCATTGTATTGCCTTTGCTCCCTTTTCAAGGATCAGTTGACAATATGTTCGTGAGTCTGTTTCTGGGCTCTCTATTCTGTTCTGTTGTTCGTTTTTTCACCAATACCATACTGTCTTGATTACTGTAGCTTTAAAGTATCTTGAAGTCAGGTAGTGTCACTTCTCCAACTTGGTTTTTCCTCTTCAATATTATGTTGGCTATTCTGAGCCTTTTGCACATATTGTTTTTCAGAGCAGCTGCATTATTTTACATTTTCATTGTGCACTGAGTGCACAAGCGTTCATATAATGCCAATATTGAACACACGCTATTTTGTGGGGTTTTAAAAATAGTAGCCATAATAATGAGTGTGAAGTGGTATCTCATTGTGGTTTCCATTTGCATTTCCTTGATGATTTGAGATCTTGAGTATCTTTTTTTTCTTTTTCTTTTTTTTTTGAGACAGACTCACTCTGTTGCCCAGGCTGAGTGCAGTGGCATGATCTCAGCTCACTGCAACCTCTGCCTCCTGGGTTCAAGTAATTCTTCTGTCTCAGCCTCTCAAGTAGCTGGAACTATAGGCATGTGCCACTACGCCTGGCTAATTTTTATATTTGTATTTTTTTTTTGAGACATTGTTTTATTTATTCTGTTGCTCAGGCTGGAGTGCAGTGGTGCAATCTCAGCTCAGTGCAAACTCTGCCCTCTGGGTTCAAGCAATTCTCCTGCCTCAGCCTCCCTAGTAGCTGGGATCACAGGCGTGCACTACCATGTCTGCCTAATTTTTGTATTTTTAGTAGAGACGGTCTTTTGCCATGCTAGCCAGTCTGGTCTCAAATTCCTGACCTCAAATGATCTGCCTGCCTCAGCCTCCCAAAGTGCTAGGATTACAGGCGTGAGCCACTGCACCCAGCTAAGATCTTGACTATCTTTTCATGTGCTTATTGGCCACTTATATATCTTCTTTGGAGAAATGTTTATTCAAGTACTTTGCCTTTTCTTTTCTTTTCTTTCTTTTTTTTTTTTTTTTTT